GCAGGCTTTTGTTGGTTTTAGTTTTTCTTCCTGTAGAGCAAGCGCAGCTGCAAAATGCAAGCTCATTTCTAGGCTTATTTGTACACTACTAGTTCCAACCATTCATAGTTGTGCAACACCCCGTTGGGGTACTGGGGTTGCTGCAGTGTCACAGATAGTTTAAGTGAGGCTCATGGAGCTGTACAATTGTAACTACGTTTTATATATACGTTGTATAATGAAACAATGCATGACGTGGAAATAAGCCAGCTACCCTGAAACAGAACAAACTAACAGCTCCGATGCAACAGTTAAGCATCTCATCAGTTATAAAATAAAACAAGTTTAAAGCAAAAACTATACAGAGAACAGGATGCTTGACATTTTAAAGTAGCATGTTCAAAGGATCATTTTTAGAACATTAAGGAAATGTACTCATCCCATCAAGTTCTCAAAAGAATTCCTGCCACCAAAATGTTCTCTGCTTTTTCACCGTGTTGTAAGAATGGATCACTATTAGGGGGAATTCTTAGAGGGAAGAAAATTCTATGTACGAAACACTGCATGAAACTAAACAATCTTTAAACGGGGCTAATTTCCGCATGGAACTGATGATTTAGCATTGTCATCCTTCAGTAGAGGAGAAAGAACTGCCTGTCTTTAGTTTACTTATTTAAGGTTAAAAAAGAGACAAGGAGTGTAAATTTGATCCTGCTTCAATTTACTTCAGTGGCAAAGCTCTTGCCATGACTTTAGTGGGAGTGAGACTGCAGTTTAATTCATTCAATATGGAGAAGAACAAACCAGTTGAAAATAATGTTCTTGTTTATTAGATTTAAATTACTACCATAGTTGTTTTTAACAGTGTTAAGTAAGTCCTGTTTTAAAAGCCAAAGGTTGCCTTCAGTGGTGCCTTTTCCTATGTACTGTGTCATAATGCAGGATCCTGGTCCTCTGGCCAACTCACCACTGCTCCCAGCAAGCATGGCTCACTCTGGGACATGGCCACATTCCCATATGGGAATGATATATGTTTGTGGATGTCAGTGTGGATATGTCACTGTGACAATATCCAAATCTGGGCTAGGGCATCCCTTCCAGCCAAGAAACCATGGTGCACACTTGGGTAATATAAATGCATTCGTTTAGAACACAACTACACTTATTAAGACAGTCATGAAAAGCAGCAAAGTAAAGTGAATCAACAGGTTAAACTTGCTGTTAGGAATCTGCATTTCTACTGGGAAATTTTAAGATAGCCACAAATTGAAAGAAGTTGAATTTTATTTCTTTTTTTTCTAGAAGACAATCAGCCTTCTGGTCTGGCTATTCGCTGCCTCTCCCTATAAAGTAAAATGCAGAAACACACACACAAAATCTGTATGAAAGTACCTGTCAATGAATTAACAAAGATTATTACTCAAAAGATAGACATAAATAAGACTGTCTATACTGTATGAATTAAACATGTCCACATGTGTAAATTAGGACACAGATCCTCCTGTTCTTTAGTAACAGAACTGATGTTCTCCTGTAAATGACATTAATGAATGAGACTGGTTTGTGAAAATCTTCTGCATTTGTTGTAGAGGTCAGAATGAGGATATTAAACGAGGTAGCAGACAATGAGGATGTGCTGCTTAGGGAAGCTGAATGTCACTTCTGTGCTTGGGGAGTTCTACAATTTGCATGAAGGTCACATGGTATCTCCAGCTACATGACAATTACTGATAAATACACACTGTTGCTCTGACACTGAATGCAGGACTATAGAAAGAGTATTAAAATATGGAATATTACTCAAAAATCATCCCCTGATTTTCTAAAGATAGTAATCTTCTATTAGAAGACAACTTGTTACCTTCTCCTAATATTAAACATAACATAAATATAATAAGAATATCTCATAATCTTGTAAAAGTATTTAAGAAATATAATTAATTAAGGTCTATGCAATGAAAATACCCTGGAAGTATCACAAGTACAGTCATAATTTCTGAGATATCAATGACATGAACCAGTACCTAAAAGCTAAAGACCAAGTGAAGAAGATAAAAAGAAATATTGAAGAATTATTCAATTAATGGAACAGAGAAAACGTGGGCTGAGGTATGCGATTAAAGATCATATTAACAAAGGTGGAAAACACATGTACTACAAGATATTTTAATTTAATTGCATGTAGTTTTAGTTTTATATGTGCACAATTTTTTTTAAATACATTTTTAGAAGTGAGGCAAACAATAACTGAAATCTATCATATGACATTATATTAATTCCTTCACTGGAATATCTGTATCTTAACATTTTCAGCACAGATTTTCACCCCTTAAGTTATTTCACAGAAGACAAAACCCTACATCTGCCATTCAGAGAAGCTCTAAAAGTTTAATTGTTGTCTGAATGCGAAGGAGCTGTGATGCACTGTGGTTTATTGAAGCACTCCTGCGGTTATAGACACTTCTTTTAGCTACCCTACCGTCTTGTCTCCCTCTTCCTTGATCCACCACTGACTTATTCTCTCTTTCTCTCTCTCTTTCCTCTGTGTTCCTTTAATACCATTCCCTCTTTTTATTTATCTCTTTTTGTCCCCCATGCTTCTTCACCCTCAGCATTCATCACCTGGCATTCCCTTTCTTCTCCTTAGTGCTACAGGGCTTGGGAAGAAGCAGTTTCCCAGCCCTCAGCTGAGGTGTGCTGGGCTGGGAGACACAGTAACTGCAGAGCAAAGTCCTACTTGCTTCCAGCTTTCCTGCCCCAGTGAATGCTCAGCTCTTCTGGGAAGATGGAGCTATGCCATCCCATAAACACATTTCTCCTAGAAGGGGATGAACCCTTCTCTACAAAGACACATGTGTGACCAGGTCTTTGAAGCTGCCTGATGTGTCCAGTCTTGGTCAGTTTTCCATAAAGAAGGAAAAGAGCCCTGTATGCTCCTCCTTATGATATTTCAAATCTTAGTTCCAAAGAACAGAGATGCCAGGACTTGTCAGTGACGTTACTTGTAACAATTTTATGAGAACTGGCAAGACAGTTCATTTCTCCTACATCTAATTCTCAGAAACCTTGGAATTATTCTAGCGGAAATACTTGGGGGGAGGAAGGTAGACTTAATTCCAACTATAATTAATGGTCAGGAGATCTGACATGATGTTATCAACAACAAAAATATGATTTAATTACAATAAGCCATACTGACAACATTTACAATACGTAAGTATGAAAAAACTGTAATAACATTTTTCTTCCATGTGGAAAAAGAAAAATACATCCCATTCCCCCCCAAAAAAATTAAGAGAAGGCACAATAAATTCTGATAATTCTCTTTCTTCTGGATTTTCAGTTCCATCACTGCTCTCCAAATTAAGATTTATGTGCCATTTTCTATCTGTATCTGTTGTTGATTCTTCCCCCCCTGCAGGAATATAGGTGGATAAGCTTGGACAGGAAACTGTATCCCTCAAGCCAAAATGAAAGGTTTATAAAGTTGCTAATAAAAGTTTGGGTCAGGGCCTAAATATCAATCATCCACTCATTGTCTTTTTAAACGAGCTCAGGCATTTTCCCAACCACTCCCAGTAGGTCTCTGCCACTATTTTAAACTAAGATTTCAGCCATTTCTTTTTTCCCTGTGTTGACCTCAATAATTTTTCTTTCTCCTCCCATCCTTACCTGCCAAATGCATCCATCAGGATTTTGCCAAAGGCTGTCTGCTTTTGAAGTTTAGAGGAATTCGCTAATCGTGAGTGTCAAATCCACAATAAATGCCATCGCCATATGGTATATGCTGCTTTGGGGAATTATCTCAAAAGGCCTGGCTGTGAGAAGGCTGGCTGTATGTTAGGAGGGGTTTATTGCTAACTTTCATAACTCATGTCATGTTCTTTCAGTTTCTGTATTCATTGGCCTCAGCGAGTGCAACTGTTTCCTGAATTTATAAAAATGTTGTCAAGATCCCTTGATCTCGCTTCCTCTGTCTCTCTCACAGAAACACATCCAAACACATCCATACACAGTGGAATAGCAAAAGCACAGTGGCATACAAATCTAGCAAAAGAGAAGCTTGTAAATAAATAGCATGTCACTCTGCTTACTCAATAAATTCCTCGGCGTGTTAAACTCATGATAAACATATCATAAGCCCTGACAAAGGCTTTACAGCCTGTCCCATCACACCATCATGAGTGTAATTCTGCAATGCATAGGAAGACATAAGTTTGAAAAACAGAGCAGAAATAGCTCCCATAAGGGCAGGGTGCTGACATAGCTGAAACATAACTAACTGGGGAGCATTTGTTTGGGTTAAAGAAGACAATATCAGTGACATATCTCTGTGCCTGTGGTGTGCTGTACCTTCTAAGCAACAAGAAATCTAACCTCTATAAAAAATTGTCCATTAATACATAAATACATCTGTTTAAACCCCTCAGCCTCTAACATTCTCCACAAGAACCACACACAAGATTAAGAAATTCCACAGATAAACACGTTTTTGTGATTCAAAGAAGTAAGGAAAAAGAAAAATGCATATCAAGAATACAAAAAAAATATTACAAAAATAAATTACACTGTCCTTTGAAACACTTGGGGCAGCTCCCTCGACTTTCTCTGATGCTCGAGGAAGGTGTGAATGTTCTCCATGTCCCACCTCATCTCCACCAGCCACATGGGAATGTCTCCAATGGGCCTCAGGATGTTTCAAGTAGCACTAGAAGTTTATGTTTAGGCAGTGACTCCCCTCTAATTTATGTATAGTATGTTAACATCCTCTTGGAACAAATAGAAGAAATGGATTAAAAAGACAGTTATATTTCTGAAACATGTGTCCCTACACATACACTAAAAAGAGAACTTAATACTGTCCCTAGGCAGAATTCATCCATCTTTAAGGCTTATATTATGTATTTCTGGGAACTGTAGGGACAGTGTTTTGCTTTCCTGATTAATAATACAAATGAACTGCTGGCAACATCACATCAAAACAAAAGTGGCAGAATCAGAAAAACTACTGAAAAGTTTACCTTTATAGGAAAGCTTCAGTCTCGGGATATTTTGTTTTGACGTTCCAATGACTGGAAGGAACAGTATCACTAAAGATAGTAGGCTGCAGGCATGTGGCGCTTGTAAAGCTCTCATTCTGCTCCCTTCTTCTGTACCTTCTTTTGCACTATGCTGAAATATCTTCCCACTTTTCAAACAATCCAAGTTTAATCTGGAAGAAAAAAAGAAAACATCTGTAGATCTCCATTTTTCTATAAACAATAATTCTGTGAGCAAGCCAGACCTATCTTTAAAGAGTAACTGATTTAGTATCTTCGTTACAGAAGTATTTGTTCATCTAATATAAATAAAAATGTTGTAAATCTGTTTCTTTAATAATAAATTTGCACATTTTGACACTGGAAAAATATGTAAATTTTTCAAACACCAGTGTCTAGCACGGCTGAAGTTTAAGCACAAATTAAATTAATGCAGTATCCATAAGAAGAATATTTTCCGTTCAAAAGTGACCTTGTAACTTGTTAGTTCATGCTGCTCCACTGGATATCTTTATGTTTTATAACTTTCTTAATCTCAGTACAACAGCTACTTTATATTTATGCTATGGCTAGAATGAACCATAATATCTCAGATACCATGGGGGTACAAGCTGAGTTAACAGTGAGTACATACTCATCATAAACTTTCATAAAAAAACTAAGAAAATTGTATAGAGCAAGCAGTTGTGTTTTATTTTAATAGAGAAAAAAGTCAACGTGGATGGCAGATTTAAAAGTGCTTTCACTATAGTATTTCCAGCAGAATAACTGCCTCAACTCATTCACCAAAATGTCCTATAAACTTTAATGAGTGTTTCATGCAGAGGTCAATAGGCTGATATGGGACTTCATTAGCACAGCGTGCAACTTAGCCAGCTTTGCAACACTTTTCACTTAATAACAGTCATTCATATTTCATAAATCTTGAAGTGTTTTACAAATGAAAGCAATTATCACTGTCCTTATTTTCCCTATGCAAAAAACGGAATCATAAAGCTGCAGTGAACCTATTTTCTCAAAGTCACACAGACACTACAAATTTTTTAGTTGAAAAAAGCAACAGCAACCCTGGTGTCCCATTTGTACCTAGTTATCAGGTATCTCTTTTGCCCAATAACTCCAGTTTTGCACATGAAATCATTTGAAATGGCATCCTGAGTTCTGAACGCAGAACTTGATGGTTAATAAATCACAGAGATCAGAGTATGAAAATATTTGTGAGACCAGATCCTTCCCCCTGCAAGTGCATGATGCCAGAGGTCAAGGGAGATGGTTGGTGAAATGACAAATGTCAGTGTTTGAGTAATGCCGTAAAGCAAGGAGTAAGGAAATGTTATGGTTAGTGGAGAGATTAATGGCCCATGACTTGCCATGAAAATTCTTTTGTGAAAGGTACTGGAACTGCTTGATTAAAAGACTAATCCTAATGCCCACATCAGCCAGCACTTGCATGGACATCAAAGGAGAGGTTTCTTGTAAGCCCATGAGAGGTGCGGGGGCTCGTGGCCCCTGAGCCTCTCCCCTGGTCTGACACTCAGTTCGCTGCAGTGCTGGTGTCAGAGAACCCAGAATCAACTTGGCACCTCGTGATGCAGACAGTCCATCCTTCCTGGCATGAAAGGATGGAGAGGGAACCCCTTCAGTTCTCTCCACCACAGGAGATCTCTCTCAGATGAAGCTCAGTCTTTCTGAGCCTCCAGACCACCTATCAATATCAAAAGACAATGGGGTGTGCAGGAAGGGCACGGCAGGGAAAGAGACAGGGGGAAATAATTCCTAAAACCCCCAAAGCATCATTCCTATTGCAGAACTTTGAGCTTCTTTCTTCTCAGTCCCTTCCCCAACACTCACATCCAGTGTCTGAATGTCACTATATCTTCATGAGATGACATGGAAAGAAAATAAAACAAATGTGAAATGCTTCTGCTTCATCTTTCCCTTCCCTTCCCTTTATTACAGTATTGGATCCTCGGAGAAGATCCTTATTCCTTCTGTGCCAATACATCTATTTGAGGGTGAACCTTGAAGGACTGCTGTTGATTAGACTATCTTGGGTTATATCACCCTGAAGAAATTTATTTAGAGGTAAGAAGGGGAAAAGAAGGGGAGGGAGGAAAGGGAAGATCGTATAAAGATGAGACACCAGCCCTGTTCCTTTCCAGTAGGATGATAGTGACAAACCATACTCCAAAAAAAAGCAATTAAGAAGGAGCCAGTCTCACAGCAAATATGTTGAGAACTCATGGCCTGAGGGTCTGGGCCTCAGCCGACAGGGGTCTCATCAAAGGATTTGGGGCTCATTTTCCTGAGGCAAAATACAGTGAAGAATCAGGACTAAATTTGGCACTTACAGAAAAAAACGAAACACCAGTTACTGGAATGAACTGTCATTTGCTGAACTTGGGCCTTGGCCACACCCCCCAACCTCATTTTTTCATGTAGGTTTCTTTTGCTAATGGGAACCTTCCTTATTTTCCCCCCCCCCTTCCCCTTTTATTTGAATAATGTCTGTGAAAAACCATTTGCTGTCACAAGGCGGTTAGTTTGTACTGGAGGCAGCTGCTCTGTGAGCTCAAGCCAACACTGTCCTGTCTTAAATTCACTGCAATCTGGCCAGATTGTCACACGTATTTTTAGTTTATGATGATCCTCTAATACAATTTCAGCTTCTACACAGAGTCTTTCCAACAGTCTAATGACTAGCTCAGGTTAATGAACTTCAGAGCAACTAACTTGCCATTAATCTTGGGGAAATATCCTTCCTCTGTAACACATGTAATGTTAATCAGTGTCCTATGCTTAAAAGACCCACAGTCACACTGCTCAGAAGCAGACTCCTGAGCAGAAATAAAATATAAAACCTAAAAGCAAATCTGACTCCCCCATTCTTTCCTCCCCTGAAAAGTAAGAAGAGTTCAGTCATGGAAGGAAAAATTATAGTTTCCTTTAGTTCTTCAATACTTTTGCTAAGCACCAGCATGTTCTAAAACTTCCTCATCATGAACAGTCCCAAAATAAATGAGGAAAAAGAGTCTGAAAAGAAAACTCCTGAGGCTAAAGCTTCTTTCCCACCTTGGCTTCAGCTAGGAAATATCTGCACTGTGTTAATTATCACCTGCAGGACTGACTGTGGAAGGAAGTTATGCACACACCTCGCTGAAATAGGGGCATTTCCAGTGGAATAAAAGAGCTTTTATTTGCCCCACGTAGGGATGGGAGGCGAGAGGCTGAAGAGGGGCCAAGGAACCCGGCTCCATCCTGCTTGGACCTCCCTGGGGGGCTCATAAATTTGTAATGGGCTGTAGGTTAAACTGCCAAAAGACAAAAAGCTGAACTGCTGGTGTCCTGCCATCCTGACACAGAGAGGCAGCTGGACCTGACTGGCACAGGCGTGATGTCACGTCCCCTAAACGAGGTGTCACCTCCCTGCAATTGGTCAGATTTAGTGGAGCCTATAAAACAGATTGCTCCGAAGCTACTGTCTGAAACAAGAAAACCTGGAGCCAATTTACTAAACATAATTTATTCCAGGTCCTTTGTGGCAATAAACAGAGCTCTTCAGCCCTCTCAGACACACAGACAGTGAGGAGCTCTGTGCTTATGGGAGGTTTTTCAGATCGTTCAGCTCAAACCTATCTAAATGCAAAATCTCGCATTCACAAATACTGTGTAGTTTCTGACTTCTCCTGGCGTCATGAAGTCCAGAGCTGAAAGGACTGTGTCCCATCTGCAAACATACACTTTTTTAACAGTAGTTCATGTAGCTCTCAGTTAATTCCATAACAAAAACCTTTATGGAATTGGAGGATAATTTAAAACCTGTTTCCAGCACTAGTTTTCCAAGGTCATTTTAAAATTCAGAATTTTGTATTCCAGTAAAGAGATAGGGTTCAGTTTTATTGAATCTCATAGCAATGTTACAAACCGTGACAACTGAAAATTGAGAACAACCTTGAGTTGGTTCATGGTGATTAAAGATTATTGTTGATTATGGATTATTGAAAAGTATGTTCTCTCTTTCCTATCTCTTTATTAAGTACATGTCCTTTACATATATGCATACAAATTTAAAGCATGCTTCTTTAACTACAAATATACAGATATTTTGTCCAATGCATATACCTGTAGATGTCTCACCTTTGAATTATCATATATATGCCAAAAGAAAAATTCCTATGATTGTCTACTATGTGGTCCAAAACTGTACTATAATAATGAGTTGGATATTGAATACTCTTTGGTAATAAGAGAGAAAACTACAAGCATACGTAACTCAGACTAATAACTTATAAAGTCAAATAGACTAAAAATAAAATTACATCTTTAGACTTAACATTCTTAACTTATTTCTTGAACAACAGAGATGACATTCATCCAGAGTACAATGAAACTATGTTCTTGTACCCCTTAAATAGATGGTCTGTTGATATATTATTTGGCAGAAGAGGCTTTTCTCTTCATTATGAATCTTAGTTAAAGCTAAATCCATCCAAGAACTGGTAAAGAGTTATTATTCATCACCATTCTCCTCTTTATTAAGTAGTTTTTGTGCTGTTTATAGTGCAGGAAATGTTCTCTTCCAAGGATTCTGAAAAATACTGCTTTTTACATAAACCCCAGATCAGCATTACATAACTTCCCAACACCAGGAAAAACTACAGAATAAAAAGACAATGGTACAATAAAAAGGCCTACAATAGGTGATTTTTTTTAATTTTGTTTTGCTTAAATCATTGGGTTTAGTGTTTCTGGTTTAGATGAGCTTTTGCCGTAGAGCAGCCTTTGCTATTGTTAAATACCCAGATGATTAGCAAATACTCATATGAAGCATAACCCAGCTTATAATGAGTTTTAAAAAGCTTTAAAGGCTTTGCCTTTACTGAGCTCCTCTCAGGATTTATACACTATCCATTCAACACCAGTAATTGGGAAGGCAAGAAAAAACACTGTTCTGATTCCCACCTGAGAAGAGTCAAATAGAGCAAAGAAAAATGAAGGGATTGAGATACAAGGAGGATGTACCTGAGGGAACAAAGAGTCAGTAAAAAATCTGTTTTTATTGCAGAAAATCATATCATAATAAATAAAGCTCTCCAATAGAGAGAGAAAATACCTTTGAGGATTACACCGGATTTTTTATTCATTAAGATAAATTTAAACTATAGTAAAAATG